ATCTGCCCATCGATCCCACTGGGGCTCTAGGCAACCCCAGACCACAGCAAAGCTGCACGGGGCCCAAGTCTGCCCTGCTATAACACATGGTGGATCAATAACAAGCATTCACTTGGAGCCGAGACGTAATAAAATAGGCCTATGAATTATTGGTTTTTTCCCTGCAAACTGTAAGGATGTGATTTTTACGGATCACGATCTAATCGTTTTTGATGATCACGTATTGTTTCACGTTAGATTAATGTTAACAGGATGTACTCTTCTGAAACTTAAGCATAAGATTGTCGGTCTATAGACAAACGTTTCCTTGCCAAACTATTTCTTAAAGATATAATATATGTTGTAGAAACTTGAACTACCGTATAACATTCTATATTTGAACTGCTTAGATTTATGTGAGTTATTAGCTTTAATTCCCACTAATTAACAGACGCATACGGAACATAGGCCTAATACTTGCTATGTGCATATAGACCACTTTATGAAATAAGATATCAGTAAATAATGGTCTCGATCTTGTTGCGGTGCAAGTGGGGGTTTGGATGAAATTTCTTAACCAGGTCGTCTGATGCCAAAGCGAGGTCGTCGGACTAAAATGGGGGGGGGTCAGACTAAAATGGGGGGGGGGGGTTTCCCATCCAAAGTTATTGCGACTGCCAATCACTAATACTGTAGTCTAAAAGCACTATTTTGGGCCAATCTAAACCATCTCCCCTTGAACCCCACCAAGGTATTTGACTCTCGGAACCTGATAAAGGCTTTATATAGGTGGCCCCTGGCTTGTGACCATCTGTTGGAAAATTCCTGGAGTCACCACCGCTCGGCCTGTGTCTCATATTATTAGAATTTGGAAATGTGTTTAATCGTTTAATATAAGCTGTTGGATGTTCAATCTAATTGTTGTGGGTTTTTCCAGATTTTAGCCTACAGGAAATCTTCAAAGTGGATAGACTTGGCTGTATTCGACTGGTAAAATGCGACTAGTACTTTTTACGGCGAGAATGCCCGAAATAAGTGGACGCTGTTGTATAGTGAATATCATGATTTTAATTTAATTTACACGTACTGATTGCCACAAATGTGCAAAATTTTTCCCGAAATATAATTTACCCATTTTAGAAAATAATAGTATTTCTATCTACAGAGTTATCAGAGTACAGATGAGCTTGTCTTACAATGCCGCCTTGATAATAGGTTTTTTAAGAATCTTTTTCGCATTTTTGTATTGAACTGGCTTTGTTATGGGAAAATTCCAGTCGAAGAGCACAGTTTCTTGCTCGTGACATGATTATGTTTCCTCATAAAACGGAAATGTTATGATACGTTCATGTGGGTCATGTTGTGAGGTACCGATATAACGATACAATAGGCCATACGTCAATCCAACCATAAATTGTCCAATGTGTGGTATTCAATTATAACTGTACTGTATTATTACCATTATTTCAGGCCTATTATCTATCGGAAAGTAGGCCTATGTTTCTTTTCACTCATGCCCTTGCAGGGATACAATATGTAACGAAATTTATCTGTGCGAAGTTGCGTAATAGAAAGCAAGTCGTACGATAATATCGGCTTTCACTCTACGCCAGGAGGGGCGCACTACGTTCCAACATCCCACGCGTAGCAGCATGAACCTAAAATACGCGCTAAGAGAGCCTGTAGTAAATGACTAAGCGATAGTCTTGTAAAGTTGCTGTTAGAAATGATAGAGAATTAATTTAATTAATACAATGACCCATTTGGAATTCATATCAAGTTGGACGTTTTCATGACATGGTAAGAATCAGATAAGGAGCTCGACAAACGATAGCGGAAACTGCTGCATTGGCAATACGCCATTTCCTTCACATAGCATAATTATGAGTTCGCACAACTTCACAAGCAAACCATAAATACACAAAACAAAGATATAAAGTACATCAACTATAAATGTCATACCTCCTAGGCTAGAGAAAATGAACTTTTCGCTGAAGGGCTTGATACGACTATAACATCTTTTTAACATTCGAGCACTGTTATTATTATTATAATTATTATATAATATATATATACATATGTATATATATATATATATATATATATATATATATAGATAAATAGTAATAAATGTGCTCGAATAGGAACATGTTGTAATAATCGTATCAAGCATTAGCTCATCAACGAAAAGTTTCTTTATATCAGTTGTATGCAAAAAATGTATACAACTGATACAACTGCAACCCCTCGCTATCAAGGCGAGTAACATACCCAGTAGACCACGGAGAGATATAGGATACACTTGCAGATCTAACACCCAGACAGATTTATACAAAAATTTACATAATCATATCAAACTTAACTCTATATTATGAAATCCCACTTTTTTTCCGAATGAAGAAATTAATTAATTTCTTTACAGGCCAACAAAATTTAATACCTAATTCTATAGGATAGTCCTATATATACGCAAGGACTGTCAAGATACACAAATATAATCGCCACTGAAATGTGGATAATTAAGACAAATCTATAAATGGAAACAGAAATTGAATCTATGAAAAAAAAGTTATCGAAGGCGTCTATGGCGGAACTCGAATCCTTATGATTGTAATTAACGGGAACATCCGTGGGTATGCATTTAGCTAGTACTTTTGATTCAGAAAAAAAATATTGTGCTTGTTTTGATATAGGGTACTGTATTTGCTAATAATACCAAACAAACATTAATAGACATTGCATCATCAATATGATGAAAATCCCTAAATCACAACTGTTGCTCTCTATCACACACTCGCGCAAAGCTACAAGGCCTACAGCTACTTTTCTTTCGTCGTTGTTTCAGCTGATAACTAAAAATAAATAATACTAGGCCTATTAATTATTATTACTAAATAAGAATGATGTTTTGCCCTATCTCCTTAAAGTCAGGCTCCGGAGGAAAAACATTTTTTGATATTTTGTAGAACTGATTTTGGCCTACAGCTACTTTTCTTTCGTCGTTGTTTCAGCTGATAACTAAAAATAAATAATACTAGGCCTATTAATTATTATTATTAAATAGGAATGATGTTTTGCCCTATCTCCTTAAAGCATACACCACTATTTAATTATCATACAAAAAAAAATCAACAGGATATCGTAATCAATCCATGTCATCACATTCTTTACACCACAACGAGGGTTTTCAAACATTTTTCAATACAACGTCTTGTTTCTCTTCAAATTTACATTGCTCATTCGTTAGTATTCTTGTAATTAAAAAAAACATAATTTAAAATTTGAGAGGTGGCTCCAGAAATTTGCTGATAAGAGTGTCTGACATATCCAACAGGGGGTTTCGAACAAAGAGGTCGACTCAGAGTCTTGATCACGATCTCGGAATAAAAATCGCTGGTGGTAGGTTTCTCCGAGAGTTTTTATGGCTTAATATATGACCCAAATTGTGTTTTCGACTATAATATTAGGGATTTAGTAATCAAAATAACGTTATTTAGATAGGTAAATTACTATTAATATTATTAATCCGACAATTACCTCGTCGTGGCGACGGACGACGAGAATTCAGGCCTGTAACGGGAGAGAAAATGCCCTCCCTGGCTTCCCGATGGCCCCATCGTTGGCGTGAAGTGCTAACTACAAGTCCAATTATGGAGTGATGCCCAAATTACATGTAATGTATAGGCCTATATTTACGAGGAAAAGAATACTCAAACGTTTGCCATTGATCCACCTCACACCCAACTTGCTCTACTTGGCAGCAGACGGTAAAGGAATGACGAATTTACGATTTGAACAAAACCTTTAAGTTTTGGTATTACTACCGACGAGACTGTTTAGGTATATTACCTGATACTTGTAGGCCTATATTGATACGATACTCTACTTATGTGCTGATTTTAAACAACAGTAGGCCTACTACATAAATGAGGTCAAGGGTGATGGGTAAGCAATCTGTATGGGAAAAATGCAAAAAGATTGCAACATGGTGTAAAACAACCAGGCCTATTCTTGTTTCTCTCTACAGCAACTAGGCCCCAGGCCCAGGCATAAAAGTATGTTGGCTTATAAAATAAGTCCAATAACGAAAGTAGTTGTACAGTATTGCAAAACAAATACCAAATTATTTCTGGTAATGCGGTACCGCAACAACAAAACTGTCACATCCATATAAAGTTGAAGGTCACGTAAAACACCACACATACTTCGACAACAAAACAAAATCAGGACGTTGGTGGGAAAGGGTTGAGGTTTCTATCAATGAATGAATATCTTCGAATTTTCTGTATTATTAAAGGCCTAATTTTAGTTTGCCTCCAGGTAATGCGTTCGGTCGTTAATCAGATTTCAGATTCGCTTACGACGAGGTGCCAAATTTATACGAGACAGCAGCTAACTCAATCGGCTAAACTGGTGGTACCACTGTTTCTGTGCGCTGAAAGTGGAAATTTTTACAACCTTGATCCCCCGATTCAATTCCATTCGGTTGTGGCTGAAATGTTTCAATATTAGCACAGTGTATCTTTCGCATGAGACGTCCAACCGTCGGTCCCATATTCTATACAATATGGTCCACCTCCACGTGCACGCAAAAGACCACAGTACACTCTTCAGAAAAGAGGGGATTGTGTAATTATAAATAGAAGATAGAATTGGCAACTAGACAATGGATGAACTTGATAGCATCCAGATTCAACACGATTTAAAAGGGCATTTATCATCATTCCGACGTATTTCATACGCTAAAACATCAAAAAGCAAATGTATTGCAAATGAGTTCCAGTCTAGTACTTAGGTAAACTATTATTAGTATTACTGCAGAGTATAAATAAAGTCAAAAAGTATCTATTTAATTTGATTTCATATAAAGTCAATACTTTTTACCTGAATGCAACCAGGACCTTTAACAGATAAAATCCCCGATGCAACGTACCAACTTCGGATTCAAATTAATATTATAACATTAGACTACTTTCTGAAACAAGAGATCAAAGAACTGGCCTAATTACTTGTTGACTTACGTCTCTGCAAGAGAGGTCATGCTTCCCTTATGCTTATCTTTATCCTTTTTCTTCTTCGGTCGTAACTTCTTGATAAACTTTGTCGACGGCATGTTGCCAGAAATGAACGAAAATGCAGCAAAACTTCGACGAAATTTATAAGGCTAACCCTTTTTCCAGAAGTTCCAATGACTAAGCAGCTGTATTTAACTAAAGTAAGCTAGAGAATAGTGCTTTTTAAACTTTTTAAACGGTATGTGTGTGCCTACAAACTCAAACACAACAACCATTATGCGTCACACCCCTGAATGAAAGTTTAACAAGAATACAACTGTTTATGAATTACGGCTATGACCACGCACCAATGCTTAACGTTTGAGACGAGTTCATTATTTGTGGGGGAGTTCAAATAGGTAAACCAAACATACGGGTTGGATTACCACAAAGTTTATAACGGAAGTTAAGGTTGTTTTCCACGATGGTATTTTTAGTTCAAAATACTTATTACTACAGATAATAACCTTTACCGATATAAGCTGTTGTGAGACAGTTTACTGTATCTTGTCTCTAGTTGCCCAAAATTATGGGTAGGCCTACCTGTTCAACAACTTATAAATAAAATGAAGTTATATCCGTTTTTAAATAACTTTAAAATTCATTTTAAAAGTTAATTGTATCCTTTTGTAATGACCATATTCGCTTGTTTTTCCATTTTTGCCATTTTTTTGTTAATTAATTTTAAAACGTATTTTTATGTATTTTATGAGCTGTAAATTAGTTCGAAACTTTAGTAACTTTTACATTTTAAATGAAATGTTGTCACACAGTGATGATAATAATAATAATTTTATTATTATTATATAGGCCTACCCGTGGAGGCGATGTCGCCACTCTTGCACTTTCTTGGTCTGGCGCTCTCGCACATGGCAACATCCGATGAGATGAGTTTGAAAATTGAATAAAAATAGAAAAAATAAAGTTTCTTCACATTTTATTTTTGTTGTCAATTCCTAAATATGTCATATGTGATTTTCATCCATGTAGCTTTCATATTTTAATAAAGGAAGTAATGTTATTATGAGGTCTGGTATCACGCTATGCTAATACCAATGATGAATTGTTTAATCATAATTCTATTTTCTCTATGGTTTAATTACATTAACTTATTAACTTACCGCTAAATTTTTAAAGCCGTATTCGTTGTTTGTAATTATTAGTATTAGTATTTTAGTCGTTATTACCGCATTATTATTATTATTATTATTATTATTATTATTATTATTATTATTATTATTATTATTATTATTATTATTATTATTATTATTATTATTATTATTATTATTAGCAGTTTACTATTTTTCTTTTATACCACTAGACATGTTATTTTATAAAACTAAGTTTATTTACTCTGGTATGATTGATATTCCACAATCAAGTAATACATAATCCAGGGTGATTTACAATTAGAGCTTTTATGGTATCGCATTCGCCGGACTGGCTGAATAGATTTATGACGTCACGGTATATTGTAATACAGTAGTGCCGTACGCTGTGATAGGACTTATTTAACTTAAAATGTTTATAAATATAAGGAAGCAAACGTTTAATTATACGAATATTCCAAGGAATATTTAGTCTAAGTAAAGTATATTGAAGTGACGGAACATTAGCGTGTTTCAATATGTTTAAATACGATACTCAATTACTATTACTATAGCATTGTTATTAATTTGTGTTATGATTTTATGATATTGAAACGATATTAAATATGAATATGATTATGATCACCCGTTAATTTTGATTGTACCATGAAATGGAATACAATATTGTTAATGTATTATTTTGTGCTAAGTGTTATACATGCATATATTCTCTTTTTAGATTCTAGATTGATGATTGAATAAATTTCCCGAGTAAATATAAATTTATATGGAGACCATATTCGCCCCTGCACCATTTCAAAATAATGTTGAGCGACGCCTGACCACACCTACTTTGCTCTCGTCGGTGACATCAGCCACCTCGTCGGGGACCTCGAACCCCTGGAACCCCCTCCCACTTCGAGCAAATCATGGCACCACCCCTGCCGACGGATGGTGTCCCCGATTTCCCTGATGAGGGCAGGGTCAGCTCAGGATCCAGAGTGCAGGGAATTATGTTCAGCTCCCCAACCGGGTGGGGGGAAGTATAATGTCCTGACGCCCGCCTTCCCACTGGCCCAACCACTGACTAACTTTCATTGAAAAAATTGAAAAATGGTACCATAGTTCGTTATGGTTTAATCAACCTTTTCTCAATCCAGACCGAAATAGTCACCAAACCTGTTGGGTAAAACATCAAAATATACCGGCGGTGGCAGTTTTCCCACACAATAAACAAATCGACTCCATCTTATTCTTTAAAAAAAATAATTACTGTAAATGCTTTTAAGTAACACTGTCTCTGAATTACAAACACATGTAACTTTTCACGATTATATTATTGCTAGCGTTGAGTCTACTAAATTTCTAGGCATGCACATTGTGATGGATTTGCGCATGGAACACTCACACCCAAAACCTATACTGTATTGTAAGAAATGTCGGTCCATACGCAAGTTAAAAACATCTGTTCCAGGTAATATTTTAGGATTTATTTATGATTATTTATACCATATTTAAATTATGGTCTTCTTGTTTGGATGACGGTGTCTCAAGAATATCTCAAAAAAATTCAAAAAGCGGGCTGTTAAATGTATCCCAATAAGCGCACTCAACATCATACATAAATCATTTTCAAAACCACACATTGCATAAGCATAGGACTTGTGTTTGTTATGTAATCGTACCCAGAAACCAAAATGCTACGTCACAATAGGCCAGCAGCCTATAATCATATCAGATTCAGAATTATAATGACAGCATATTGATGTTTAATACGTGTTCCTCATTGACTTAATTCATACGCTTTTACACTGGAGTCTTGAAATGATAGGAGGTGGTGGTGGGCTGATTGGGAACGAAGATGGAGTGGGTGGGGGCGGGCAGGGGTTTGATGAGTAAGTGAGGGGACGCTAGGTCACAAAATAGGGATATGAGGTGATTTTTAACTACTGAACGTGATTATATTTCTTTGAGCTGTTTTCCCCCCGGGTATACCCCTAAAATACGTGCTTTAAGCTATAGAGATAGTAACAACATGGCGCATAAAGACGACCAGTCCTATGACCCTCGTCAAAGTAAACTATAGTAATAAATTTTTGGATAATAAATTATATTTATTAACAATAGTTATTCATCTTTACTCTAGTGCTCACCCACTTTTATTTCGCTCTGTTCACACCATCCTCCCTCACACACAAGAATAGACGAAACACCAAAAAAAAACCCAGCAAAAATTATAGGAAGCTTAATCAAATTCCCTCATTCAGGAAAAGAAACATTTTCCTATAGTTTGATACCTCCTGTCATAGACTCATGAATTCATTCTTATTGTCGATACTTTTAAGCTAATTGATTCCGTTTCCATAGTGTACGAGAATTTAGTTTAATACCGTAATATAAATGCTGAGTTTATCATCCCATGTTTCTTAATTTAAAATGGAATATAGACATAGGCCTATGATATGTTTATGATATGCAATCAATGGTGGCGCAGGATTTGCCAGACGGAAGGGGGGGGGGAGGCCTGAGGTTCCCGACCGGGGTGCCGATGTCCCCGACGAAAAAAAGTGGGCGCGGCCGCCCAAAATCTCACGAAAGTGTTCCAGGGGGCAAGCCTCCGAAAAATATTTGAATTTACGGGTTTCAAAGGCTTATTTAATCGATTTTGGAGTCTACTAAGGCCTATGTAGAAAATACCATACATAGGCCTATGAATGTTTTTCTCCACGACGAATTGTGTTTTTTTCCCCGACGGGGGCCCTGGCCCCCGGCCCCCGCTGGCTCCACCCCTGTATACAATTATTGCAAAGTTTGCAATAAATCCATACGATATGGGGCTGATCCAGGAGTTTTCATTGGTGGTGAACTACCAACATTTTAAAACGGTTTGAATCCACCCTTAGGCCTACCTCTATTATGTAATAGTAATAAAAACATGCATGTGGTTATGGTTTTTAAGTATGTTTTTATAATGTATTTGCTATTTCTGATGTTTTTATATTTACTTGTTTATCTGTATTTTTATTTTTTTAATCACGATGTTGTGTGTTTTTGTGTTGTTTTAGATTGATAAGATACCGTATTTGATTTTTTTTATGTTTGTATTTTAGATATTCGGCAAATTTAATTTCGAAATGTGAAGTTTGGTGATGTTAGGATTTTCCTAAAATTTGTCTATAGGCCTAATCCATTTTCGGTCTAAGGAAAGTATTTTAAGTTTTCACACATTACGTTTTTTAAAAAAATTTTTTTTAAGTTCTACATTTATTCAGAAATTGCACAACAAATTACATATTACAAATTGCTAACATACTGTAGGCATCAAAAGAAGCGGTGGCTTGTCAGTTTGAATAGCAAACATACAAAAACAAGCAGAATTAAGATTTTTAAATTTGGGGTCGCCCACAATCTACGGCACCTCCCGGAAGGGGGAGGGGCTAGCTCACTATCTATTTCTTATTTTTTTCATTTTTTGCTTTGATTTATCTTGAAATAAATCGATAATAAACTTCAATCACTTCACATAGGACTCTCCATTCTTCCGATAGGTGGCATTTTTTACAATCAACACAGTTTATTACACTCTAACACAGTTAAATCTGTGCGAACTACTGTATCCGCGTTTTATCGCGGACCTCATTATTCGGTCCATCTCCATAATTAATATTTGCACTCCTGTACTAATTAGGATTCCAATATCTTGTGCTTCTGAGATATTATTTTATGTCCAGTTTACACTCTACTAATCATATACAATAATCAAAAGATAGCCCAATTGATGTTGATTGATGATAAAGCCATTATCTAGCTAGAGTCTTGAAGTGGGAGATGGGTGGGGGGGCTGATCGGGGTACAAAGATGGAGTGTGAGGGGGGGGGACTCGATGAGTAAGTGAGGAGACGCTAGGTCGTAAAATAGTGATATGAGGTGATTTTCAACTACTTGAGCGTGATTATTTTTCTTTGAACATTTTCAATGGGGGATATTATTTGAGATATAAAGGTTATTCATTTATATTGCGCAGAATACGAAAGTCTCTATGCGTAGAACAAGTGAGCAGATGTAACTAGAAAAAAAAAAAAAAAAAAAAAAAAAAAAAAAAATCCAAGCTAGCACCCAAACCGCAGTATTATTTTATGTCCAGTTTACTGTCTACTAACCATAAATAATTAA